GTAGCTGTTCCCAAAAACAGAGTGGGGAACCAGAAACCCCCTAGGAAGAGCTGTGCATAGATCCAGAGTGCACACCGTTTCACATGCTTGAGGAGAAGCAGTGGTCCTGCACAGCCAGGAGCATGGCTTTGTGCTCCCAGCTCTACTTCCTAGCACAGGCCTTCTTTTACTTTACTTGCGAGATGACAGAGCACTCCTCGAAGGGTTCCTCAGGAACCTGTTTTAAGAAATATCTGCTTCATGTTGCACACAGAGAGCAAGGAGCAAGGAGTACACAAGGACCTGTGTTCACAACAAATCTGTTTCTGCACATCACCTGTACTCCTGGGAGATGTGCTGGGAAGAGGATAAGTGCAGAGGTGATTGCATGCTGCGTACAGCCACAGTGTGGGGAAACAAAGCCCTGCCTGCAGCTAAGGCCCAGACTAAGCTCACTTTTCTCAGGATGCAAGGCCAGTGACATTTTCAGGCACGAGCAGTGCTGCATCACCCTCTCCCTGCTCACACTGTGCTGGAGGAGGGGGTGCCTGAGGGGCTTCCCAGGTACATTCCTTCTCTATATGGGACAGCTTGCTCCAGAAAGCCTGCCCACACTCACCACCTGCTCCAAGCAGGGGCATGAATACTGTGGGGCTGCCAGCCAGTGTGCACAAGGACAGTACTGCACAGGTACCCAGAAAGAGTAGTCTTGCCCTCACCTGCCTCGGGGGGGAATTTCCTGCTCTGATATGATTTCTGGACCTGACTTGGTGAAGTTCCAAGAAGAGTCCTTGGCGTTCAGAGATGCATCCAAGGAAAGGGCTGAATGGATCAGTTGCCAGATGCTGTTCTTCAGGCTTTGGTCTTCAGGGGATTCCGCCCTGGGAGGCGAGGCAGTAGTGGCAGCCGGGACAAGCACAGTGGGTGGGTGCACAGTTGTCCTGCTCTTCTGTGAGGGTGTGGTCACCTTTGATGTGGCTGTGGGGGGCTTTGTCAACAGTGGTTTCTGAGCCAGGGGCGTGTGAGAGTGGTTCAGAAGCCTTTCCACATGAGCAGGAGAGGGAGAAGCCTGCTTGCGAGCTGAGGAGACAGAGGGATGGAGCGGCTGAGGGCACCTTTCTGAGGCCAGCCAGAAAGGTGCTGGGGGTGGAAGAGTAGCTACAAGAGATAAGCAGGAGAGCAGGGGTGCCCAGCACAGCTCGGTGCAGCCATACCTTCTCTGGCAGAGGAGCTTTTGCCCACTGTCACGGAGCTCACAGTGTAAGGTTGCTTCGAGGGGATGACATCTTTTAGAGACCAAGTCGAACATGGGACTCTCTGAGTCGGGGAAAGAGGGAGAAACACGAATCTTGCTATGTAATCTTCCCTTCCTCCTCACCCCTTCCATCTACCCTACCCCTCTCCCCCAAATCCCACTCCCCACCTTGACATAGAACTGCTGTTTGAGGCAGCGGTACTGGGCGAACTGGCAGAAGGTCTGAAACTGCAGCACCTCTGGAAAGTCAGTGCAGACTGGCCCTGGAGAGAGACATGTGGGATGGGGGCAGGCCACAGGTTTTGTCATCTACCCCCTTGGCCTGGGTGCACCAAGAGATTGGGACCTCTGGGGTGACAGCTTGTGGATGCAGGGAAAGTCTGCCCGCCCCCACGTGGAGATCACAGCCTTGGGCTGTTATAGCTCCCAATCCCAGGTGCCACATGCCCTTTCCCTCCAACCCCCTGAGGGCTTCATTTCATTCTTTTGCCCTTTTTCTCACAGTTATCTTCCTTATGACAGAGACCCAAACTTCCTGTTTCCAGGATCTGATGATTCTGTTATTAGTCCTTACAGGATTTAGAAAAAAGAGAAAAGTAGTGATGTGATAGGTTCAAAAGATGCCCAGACCGGGCCTAGGAGCACCAGAGAATCATAGAATGGTTTGAGCTGGAAGGGACCCTCAAGACCATCTAGTTCCAACCCCCCTGCCATGGGCAAGGACACCTTCCACTAGACCAGGTTGCTCAAAACCCTATCCAACCTGGCCTTGAACACTTCCAGGGCTGGGGCAGCCACAGCTTCTCTGGGAAACCTGCTCTAGAGGAGACAATATCTTCAGGGCAATATAGTTTGACATCGATTCCAGCCTTGCAGGGGATGGAGTAAAGTCCATAGGGCCAGGATGCTGCTGGCAAAGCCTGTACCTGTACACACATACACTGTGGTCTTGACCACAGCACTGCCGACACACTGACCCCAAAGCTGCAGCTCTTTCTGCAGTGATCACAGGAAAGCAAAGGCATGCAGGAGAGCAGAAAACCCGGGGAGAATTGGGGAGGGGGGTGATCTTGTGTTCCCTCTGCTCTAGGAGTGCATGGTCTGGCTAGCACAGGCAGCCCTGTGTGCACAGGACTGAGAGGGAGGAGATCAGCAGTCCTGTTTGTTGCTTGTGCACCAACCTTTACCCTGTACATACACTTCTTCTGCTGAGCATACACCTGCACCATCAAAAATAGAATTTCAGGTATCCACCAGGATCCCAGCCCAGGAAAGTGTCTAACTTGTAGGGAACACTCCAGATCAACCCCTATTCTTTGTTTAAAACACAAGGTAACTACCTTCATCAGCACCCGATGAGGTGCAATTAATGCTCATGAATATCTGGATGTAGACAGCACTACCATAGCTCTGTGAGGACAGCAGAGGCTAAACATGGGAGGGCACATGTTCTGCCATGACAGCTTGGCCTCTCAGCCTGGCTGAAATGTGCCAAAATAACCCAAAAACTAAAAAAGGATAACACAAAGGGAAATAAAGTCTGCTGGATGGGTCTGTTAGGCTGAGGGATGGAGAAAAAGAAGGTAAAGAAGGCAAACTGCAAAATTGTCCCATCTCCTGGCATTTCCAGATGCTTCTGCCCTTGGCAGCTGTGTCTCCAAAGGCAAGAGCAGTGGGAGTGTGGCTGGATATGGCAAGGAACAATGCTGGGGAGTTGGGCACCAGGAGAGGAACCAGGGACAGACCCTGGGTGCACCCAGCACCATGGCATAGGATTGCAGCACTATGGCGTAGGATTGCAGGTGCCCACAAGTGGGTGAGGAGCCCAGATCCCATCCCTGGATCTGGTGTTGAGGGGTGGCACTTGTTTCCCTGACACAGCTGCAGAAACCAGCAAGAAATAGTTGCCCTCAAGCTGCAGTCCAAATAAGCACAGTTGGCTGATCATTCAGCTCATTGACGTTCATATCTAAATATAAAGACATATTTTTTATGAGAAAATTGTTCCTATTTTTTTTCCTCTGAAGAAAAATACAACAGAAGTAGTACCAAGTTTTTCAGCTGCACAGATATAATTATGCCACTTAAATTCTCTGATGCAGGGGTGCAGGGAAAATATCACTGCAGAGATTTGAAGGGTGCTGTTGCTATGGTGCTTTCTGAACTGGGATGTTTCTTGGCTCCTGAAATGTTAAACACTTAAAAAGGCAGCTTATCATCTCAAGTTTTCCTTAAGACCTATGAGAACCCATGAGCCAAGCTTCTGCATTAATGCCCAGATCAAGTTGGAAGGAGCTGGTAACAGATGAAGACCTTCAGTAAGCCCCAGAAAACTGCGGCCTGCTTAGGAGGTTAGGACTGGCCATTGGGAAAAGCATTTTTTCTCCAAGAAAGTGGTGCAGCACAGGGAGGCTGCAAAACCACTCTTGCACAAAGCTGGTGTGCTCTTGTTCTGGGGGTGTCTGCTCCAAGCTGGACTTTGGGCTAGAGACTCCGAAACAACCCCTCCCACAATCTTGTGGCATTTTAGGGCAGAGAAACAGCTGGCCCTGCTCCAGCTGGGGCCACGCCCTCTGCTGCCCATGGAGGTGGAGCGATGTCCTTACCACTGGGGATTTGACCATGGTTCTCCTCCTGGTCCAGCTGCAGAATGGTGGGGCTGAGGCAGCCGTATGCCTGGCGCAGCAGGCAGAACATGTTTGCCTCCCAGAGCGGCTGCAGCCTTGCAAAGAATTGCTGGTACTCCGTGTCTGACAGCGGACTGCCTGGAATGGGAGGCACCGGTGGAGCAACAGCAGCCGTCGGCAAGGTCAGCAGACCTATGGAAGAAAGACCTGGGACAGTCTGTGCTTAACAGCCCTGTAATGGAGGCAAGTGGTAGGTGGAAATGAAGGACCAGCTGGCAGGCTGGTCTGCTCCTGTCTGCTGGCACAGAGCAGGGCACTGGGATGAGGACCTCAGGTGCTGGTTGAGGTCTTCCTCCATCGTCCCTGTTTGCAGGGCCCTGGGGAAACCAGGAGCCCCATGGGGAAAAGGGTGAAAATAAATAAAAAAGAAGGAAAAAAAAAAGAAAAAATTTAGAAGCTGTGTTTTGTTGTGAGCTTGGTTTGATTTGGACTGGGGGAAGGTGTTTTGTTTTTTGGCTTGGTTTTTGTTTTGGTTTTTTTGGGTGGGTTTTTTCTCAGTGGACTTTTCCCCCCCTTTCAAAAGCCCCAGCCTCCAGAGGCACTCGCAATGGCCCCTGTGAGCTGCCCCCTGGACCATGCTATGGGCCTGTGTCCCTCCAAGGGGACATCCCTCCATCTCCTCCCTCCTCTCCTTTGTCTTCAGCTGGGCCACCTCCCCTCCTGCCTTCACATTCTCCTCCGCCCCCACCGTATGACCCCTCCAAGAGCCTGCAGCCATTCCCAGGTGAGCAGAATGGAGGGCTGGCATGGCCTGTCGGCCCAGTGGTGTGGTCTTGTGAGAGACGGGAGGTGGCAGCAGCAGCACAGGGGCTTCATGCTTCCTTCCAGCCCCAGCCCCAGGCTCTGAGGTGACCTTGTGAGGGCAGGCACTTACTCAGTAGCCAGAGGAGCCACAACATGTCTGCCACAGGCTTCAGCCTCATGGAGCTGCTTGGTGGCTGGGTGGGAGTCACTCACATACCAAGTAGAGCAGACATAGAAAGTCTGAGCACTCGGGTTCTGCCCCTGGCAACAGTGGAACCAGAATGTGGCCACGGCGCCATGATCAGAACCTGATCATGGTGTCACAGCGGGGCTGGGGAGGGGCCTGTGGAGGGCAGCCAAAGCCCAGGCTCATGCCTGTGAGGGAGTGAGGGCAGGTAGGCACCCCACAGGGAGGGGAGACACCTGGTCATGGGGACAAGGAGGAACAGGAACCAAACTGGGAGCTTCCCTCTCTACCTGGGAACATGGTGGTGGCTGGCAACAACACGCAACAGCATTTGAGGCCTGGCCAGGCTAACCAAGGCCTGAGGGTACCCCAGAAGTGGTATTTCTGGGATACCTTGCACCCCAAAATTTTATGGTCTTCTGGATGAGAAAGGGACACCATCTTCTCCATCTGGAGGGGATTGGAAAGCACACGTGTCCCAGCACCAGCTTGCTTCAGGATGCAATGGGAAGATGGCTTGATCTCTTCTGGGCAGCCATGCCACTTTCTGAACTCCCAGGGAGTCAAGAGAGCACCAGCTGGTCTTCCTCTGCATCTGGCACAGGTACCCTGAGCACTGTACTCTACACAGTAAAGCTGTCTCAGGAAAAGCAGGAATGCTCCCGGCAAAATGAGCTTTGGGGCCACCAGTGCAGAGATGCACAGAGCCCCACAGGACTTATTTGAGGGAGAACCACACCCATACCCAGTTCTTAAGACAGAGACACACAAAGTGCGGGGCACAGGCACAGCAATCCACATGTGCACCCAATGGATAGGAGCCGACACAGTGCCTCCCGCAGCTGGGCACTTTCTGATGTGAGAGGGAAAGACATGACCATAACTGTCAGGGGCAAGCAGCTGTCAGGTTGGAAGGAAAATGCTTGGCACAGCAGCTCCAAGAACTGCAGCCATAAGCAGAACACAGGCTGGCACAGCGGCTCCGCATGCCTGCCGTGTCACCCCACAGCCTGCAGAGTGACACTCTTGTGGAACCAAGGAGGAGCTGTGGGCAAAGCTGACAAAGTTTTCAGCAGTATGCTGCTGCAGGAGTCGCTTCTGTCGCAAATCCTGGGAGATTCCAGCAGCTCTGCTGTATGAAACAGCTGCAGAGCGTGCTGCAGATGTGCCAGCTGTGCTTGCATGGCTGACACATCTCCTGCCAGTGCCCAGTGGCCATCCGGGCTGTCAAGGTGGAAGCTCAAATCACTCCAGACATGCAGTCTGTTAAAAAGGTGTCTGGCAGCACCACGTAGCTCTGCAGGTCCTGGTGGGAGACAAGCTGTAGTTTGCTCTAAGGTGTCTTGTTGGGAGGTAGTGCTTCTGAGAAGCTTGAAGCCTGACCCCTTAGCAGCAGCACTGAATTTTGGATGGTTTTGCTGCTCTTTAGAAAGACAGTGAGCAAGAGACTTTTTCCAACTAACTCTTGCCACTCATGCTAAAACAGGTAACTCTACTGGTGCTTGCAAATTTTAGCCAGTTCCTAGTCTTCCATTGCTTAGCTTGAGAGATACTGCTTTTTTGCTGATTTTAGACAACTCCAGGGCCTTCAGCTTCCCAGCTCTGTTAATCCCCTCCACTTCTCTGTGACAACAGAGACCAGGTTGAGTTCTGTTGCCCTGACTGAGCAGCTTCCTGGGGAAGTTCACTGCTGATCTCAGTGGCTGATGGAAATGCTGGACTTAGAAAAGCACACCGACGTGGCATGTCATAGAATCATAGAATGGTTTGTGTTGGAAAAGACCTTAAAGATCATTTAGTTGAACCCCACGCCATGGGCAGGGACATCTTCCACTGGACCACATTGCTCAAAGCCTCATCCAACCTGGCCTTGAACACTTCCAGGGATGGGGCATCCACAACTTCTCTGGGCAATACCATGCAATGTTATTAATGTCTGTCAGGTGCTGGCTACACAGCCTCTGTCTACATGTGCCAGCAAGAGATTTATGGTGTATGAAAACAGAAAACAAGAATGAACGGACCAGAGTTCCCAGACATACACTGAGAACTCAAACACAAGGAAGAAGACAAAGGAGCTGTCAAAGAAGTCACCCTTGGTGGATGCTCTAGTAGCAGTGCCTGTGGGGAGCTACTGCATATTTGGAAAGAAGGTGGTTAGTGATGTGAGGACAGATTGGCTACTTAGCACTTCTCATGCACTGTGGCACACCCTGGGTTTGGTTCAGGTTGTCAGAATCCTTCAAGGAACTCACAGTCTGCAAGAAGGACCCAGGTAGTCTCCAGCATGCACCCAGCAGGGTTGGGAGGCTGCAAGCGCAGGAGACATTGCTGTGCTGCTTGGGTGGGTGTGTGACAGCTGGCTGTGGGGCACTTGTTGTTTAAGCCTCTGAAAAAAAAGAAGTCATCTTTAGGGGAGGGACGAGGATGGGAGGAACAGTAATTTGGACACAATGCATCAATGCTGAGAGCTGGGGGGTGGTCTCCTCCCTACTGCTGCTTCAAGCAATTATGGTGGTCAGAAATGCACAGCACAGGGATGATATTAATTCCATTTTTTTCTGATTTCTGAATGTTGACCTGGTACTTTTAAGGCTGTACCCCTAATGCCACATTACAAGTTGTATAATTTTTGCACTGAAGCAGACTTGCACCCTTGTTTTCAGAGCCACCACACAGCAGTTTCCTGCAGACAGTGTTCCTGTGCCATCTGGAGCTCAGTAGGCTGATGAGCACAGCTGTAACCCCCAGGCCTACAGAGCGCCTGACGCCAGCAGCAGGGAGGGTAACAGCTGGATAGCAACTTGCTGGAGTGGTATTTTCCACGTTGCTATCCGACTGCTGTGTCGATTCTGAGCTTTATAAGAGCCTGTCTGGTTTGTGAGGGACCACCCTTCACCAGACAAGCTCCTCTCCCGAGTTAGTCTTGCTGTTGTCTAAAATACTTCAGCTGTTTGTTTCTCAGCGTTTTCCATGCTGCATGTTCCACCACAAACACTACCACCAGCAGCAGTGTCTGAAAAACTCTTGAAAAATGCAGGACAGTGGCTTGCAGACCCTCCCTCCTCTGCTACAAGGTTATATTGTCACTTCATCAGGTAATAGAATCATGAGAACGTCAAGGCGAACACCTAAAAATATCACCATCCCGGACTCAAGGCACTGATCCAATCCCCCAGTCCACTGTTTCTGATGTTTGTCAGTGTGTGTCAGCTCTCTGAGTTAAACTGGGGGGTTTGGGCAAGGAGAGGATGTCCGATCACTTCAAAAACTCATAAAGATGGAGGCTTCAAAGATTAAGTGTGAATTCCAGACTCAGTGACTTGTCAAGCAGCATTCCTAGAAAGATTGTGTCTTAAATAATTTGAAATGTAAGCAGAGATGACAGAAAAATGCTTTCAAAAACACCTGTTATGGTGAAAAAAAAAACCCAACAGTGATTTCATAAAGGCAATTCTGGTAAAAAATGCCTAAATCTACTTTCTCATGTTAGCTGGATTGAAATAATCAGAGTACTTGTACAGCCATAACAACAGCACTATTAACAGAAATATGTTTGTATATCGCAGAATTATAGAAAATGCTGAGTTAGAAGGGACTCGTGAAGATCATTGAGTCCTGGCCCTGCGCAGGACACCCTAAGAATCACACCATGTGCCTGAGGGTGTTGTCCAAATACTTCTTGAACTCTGACAGGCTTGGTGCTGTGACCACTTCCTTGGAGAGCCTGTTCCAGTGCCCAACCACCCTCTGGGTGAAGAACCTTTCCCTGATATCCAACCTAAACCTCTCCTGACTCAGTATGTTCCCAGAAAAGAAACACCAGTCTCTTTGTTTATGGAGGAGGCCATGAGCAGTTATGCTTCTGTAGGTGTTACAGCAGAATAAGGAAGGGGCCAACAGAGCCCCTGAGACATGCCAGGTTATTCATTCCTTACAGAGCATCAAAGGAAAGGGAAGACTGCTTCATTTACTAAAACATATCCCTAAAGGAGCAGACAGGGAAGGGGGACGTTTGCTCCATTGATGTAGGGAGTCAGACAGTACAGCACTAAGTCTTTCATGAAGCAAAACCTACTTGAAGAGCCCAACACTGAACACCTTCAACCTGGTAGCTGTGGCCCTCTGGGAAGGGATGTGGGTACAAGCCCAAGCAGAGCAGGGCAGAGATCTCCATCTCCACAGACAAAAGCATTAGAGGGTGTTCTGATTCGAACCAAAATTCTATGAATTGCTGAGTTTAATCACAGGTTAAATAATCTTCATTCCTCATTTGTACTTTATTTTGGTGGGTTTACTATCATTGGCTGAGAGCTCTGTGAATATGCTGATAAATATAGACTTCACATTAAAACTGGCACTCGTTTTTAACTTGGTAGATATGTTAATCTACCTATTCACATTTATACAAGCACTGTAGAGTTATAACATGCATTAATTCAAATAATTTACATTTTATTTTGTTAGAAAATAGTGAATGAAGCATTTTTTTACTTGACATTTAGAAAATGGAATATTTAATTGATAGCAAAAACAGTATTTAAAAATGCTTTCTTGAATTATTAATACAACCTAAGATGGAGTGGCTACATAAAAGCATGTTTGAACCAACTGCTCTAGTCTTTTTAGGCAGGTTTGTTTAGTGCAAGAACAACCTCACCTGACCACAAATTTATCTACTGTGGGCAGGGGCTTGGACTACAGAGCACCAGAGAGGCCTCTTCCCACCTCAATCTTTCTGTGGTAACTAAATGGGTTCTACCAATGACTGCGTCATTCAGGCTTTTGGAATGAGGAAATCTCAGAGTCTCACACATTTTTTTCCTTGCTTGTTGTCAATGTGTAAAAAATAATTCCTTTCCTACTCCCAGATGGGTTTTCAACTTTGAATGAGTTATTTATTCAATGGCAGCAAACCAGGCCACTGAAATTAAATTGTACACCTGCAAAAACAGACTAAAGTGGACAACTTGCTGAACATTTCTTTTACACCAAGCTTTAGGAGCTTAGTGTTTGTCACAGTTTTGCCTGTCCTTAAGCCTTGGGCAAAAATGTCTTTTTTAAAACTAACACTTAACTTTCTTTTATGTATTCAGAAAAATAAACATAAATTAGCATAAATTAATCAAGATGTTTGACTATTTTTATAAATGAAATGCATTTTATTGGATAAAAACAGCTATGTTTCTTTTGATCCTGTAACTACTAGGCAACAGAGTTGGAGAAACTTCCTTCAGTTGTCTTTCAAAAGAAAGGTAGGGCATTTTGTTTCCTTCTGTTAGTCTTTAACTCCTTCAATGCTGCAGGTCCCCCTTGCTTGCTTTAAAGCAGCAGATGTTGCCACTCAACTTGTCAACATCTTCACAGTTCATCCTCCTGGTTCACATGGCAGAGAGAAAGTAGAGCAATGGTTGATTATAAAAGGAACAGTGGCTCAGAAACTGTCAAACCAGCTGTGTCTGGGCAGACATGGGCTTATTTTAAGTCATTTCAGTATGAGCAAGTTGTCTCTTGGGAATGTCTTTCTTCTCCACTGCCAAGCTGAGATCTCTGGACTGATTCGGCTGGTATTCGAATTGAGCCTTAAGATCATCAGTAATATCACCTTTCATCCTGAGCCACACAACTGCTGCTTCTTATCCTAGTTGCTCTGCTACAGAGAGTTTCGGTACTCAGCATATATCTGACCTGATTTAGGACAGACAGCAGCCCTGCTTCGAAGGGCAAGCTGAAGCAGATGACCTCCAGGGGTACTTTCCAATCAGTGTTTCCAGTTCTGAGTAACTGTCTGATATGGTTTGAAGCTGGCTCCCTGCCAAGTCTCCAAACCTTACCACCAGAAGTCCCCTCCCCCCAAACCTCAGGGAGAAGAGGGAGAAAAACAACCAACTAAGAAATAACCCGAAACGAGAGAGACAACTAAAGTGATATATATAAATATATTTACACTTATATATATCATTTAAAATATATACAATTTTCACAAGGGAAGGGAAAGGGAAAGGGGAAGGGAACAAAACCAAAATTATATATATATATATATATATATATATATATATATATATATATATATCCCAAATCAGTAGCCCGAGATCTAGTAACTAGAGAGTTAGCAAAGGAAATATATCACCACTCTCCTTGGGACAACTGAGAGTTGCTCCGGGACGATCGCCGGCAACCTCCGTCTCCCAAGGTCGACAAGGCCTCACCAGGCCTCGCTCCCCAACACGGCAGACTCAACAGCAGGGAACCTGCACCTCCAAGCCGCCGGAAGGAAAGAGAGCAAAAGCCTCTCCTCCTTTCTTCTTATAATCTGGCTTACGTAAAAATCGTAGGGAATACTGGGTAAATCTGGCCCCTTCCTTGGTTACAAACTGGTCACCAAGGAAGGCCTAGCCCAAACCACCACACTGTCTCATAAAAATTGATCCGTGATAATCTGAGTCTCACAGAAACACACCCTACAGCTGAGTTTCAATGAGTCTGCTTAAGCACAGAAGCCTTATACAAGCTGTTAAACAGACAGTGAGGGGGGGACTGTCCACCACGTGGCTCTGAGTGTATGGTTGGGTAACACCTTAAAAGTGCTTAATGTAAGACTGGATGTTGCTGAGCTATGGGGTGAGTTCAATCACTTTATTCAAAAGCAGGGGAGGAAGGTGTTCCCACTGGTGGAAGGTGATGGTTTCTGTTCACATCATGGACATGGTGGACATGGTGGTGGCAGAGCCCGAGGGATGGGAGCTTGGTGAGCATGTCTGCTTGCTGGAAAGGGGAATACTTTGCTGAACATCCTCATCAACATATTTGCCCAGCTACCTAGGAATGATGCCCAAAGATGGGGCAATCGCAGCTGGACAAGATAAATTGGTCATTTGTGTGCATGACCAATTATTGTTAATAAATGGGCTTAAAGAGGCTGGAAAAATCTTCCCTCTTGTTGTGCTGAATGGCTGCAGCTTCCTGAAACTCAGACTTGACTTTACTCATCAACTAGGATATTTCCAATCACTCTAAAAGGGCAATTTCTCCAGCACCATTTTAGAAAGTGTTTATGTTGCACTGACAGCTGTTCCAGGAAATCTGCAAGCTAGCCAGTTCTGTAAAGGAGCTCATGATTACTTTAACTTAGTGTAACCCTGCTTTAAGCACTTCAATTCTAGGAGAAGTAAACTTTTCAGATCCTGTTACCACTAGAGTGATGCAGGTAGCTATTAACAAGGATCTTTAAAAAGAAAAAATTCAAGTAGTTTTTGACTGACCTGTTTTTGCTACTTCCAGTCAAACTGATTTTATTTTGTTGACCTGGATTTCTTGCTTGTTTTAGAGAGAAAGAATTTACTTCCCTGCTCTTTCAGTATTTCACATCTGGACTGCTGTGGCAGCCTTCTTGACATCATTAAGGACCAGCACAGAGCTGGCTCTTTTCCAGCCTTGTGGGCTTTCCTTAGCAGTCCAGAGCCTTTCAGAGAGCAGTCCACAGACTCCTTTGGGTGGCTTTCACAGGACGACAGACATAATTTATTGAAGACTGCTGATCAAAAAAGTCTTGGCCCCAATAGATGCTATTTAAAACTCTCCTTTACTGTTTGCCTAGGAAGTACATCATCCCCATATTGACACCAGCACCAACACAGAATAAATATTTACAGAACACTTCCCCTCCTCTCATTACAAACAATTCTGCTATCTGCAGTTGGTAATGGACATGTGCCATGTTCAATTATATCAAAAACAAAAGGCATTCTAAAAAAAGCTGCTCATGTTTCCAGCCTTGTCACTTATAGGCTTTGTTCCCACTGGCTTCATTTTTGTACTTTGTAATTTTCAGCTTCTACTGATTTTTTTCCTCCTCTGGTGATTACATATTGCACAGCTATTGCCCTTATTCCCTCCCTTCCAAGGTTAGATTTTAATGTCCTTTCATTTGCATTTATACTTTTAAGCTGTTTAAAAATGCTCAGGCTTTATCCAAATTTTGGTCTAAGTTCCCTCTTCCTGTAAGTCAGAGCATTTCCTCAGCTGCAGCAAATGTCCCCTGAATGCTCCATGCTGCTGGCTGAAGCACCCCTTTGTTGGACAGAAGCAGGACACAACAGCAGAGTGGCAGGGAAGTAAAACAGCAGCACTGCTTGCCATTTTCTGGCACTGAATCAGAACTCAGCCAAGGTGTTTCTCATCTGTTTTGCGTTAGGTCATCGGAATGCTTCAATTCTCAGTGTGCCAAGAAGCACAATGGTAACGCCGTGGCCAAGTTTTAGTCTGAAAACAGGAACATTCCAGTCCACCTCCCCCTCCCAGCATCCTATGCTGACTGCAGAAAACCCCAGACTTGTGTCTCCCAAACCAGAGCTGTCAGGGACACAGTTACTCCTGTGAGCAGCACCTGAAAAAGAGGCAATCTTGTTTGCTGGTTTGGTGTGCATCACACTCCTGCCCACTCACACACTCTCACATGATACCACATGCTTTTATAAGCTACTTATTATCCTTGGTCAGCAGTGGCTTCATTACAGGGCTAGTGCTCCAAACGCCCCTCTAGCCCACAGCTCCTAGAGAACTTGCTGCTAACACTGGCCGTTACAATTACAGTCGTGTCCCCTCAAAACCAAACTGCTTGGAGGACTGTTTGCATCCTTTGTCACCCTTGCACTTTGCCCAAAGCCCATCTTCAAGTTCAGACCACATCCTCCATTTCTGTCAGTTGAGCACCCTGCTGCTGTCTGAATTAACCCCAGCTGAATAAAGTTTTTCTCCTGCCACAGCTTTCTCACCCCTGGATCACGGCACAGCATCTCCCCACTATGAAAACTGTACTAGACACATAGCCAGCAACTTCCAGAATTTACTTTCTCTCTGTTTGAGAAGGGAAGCCCCAGGGAGTGGCCTAATACAGTCTGGGGATTCAGACTGAGATTGTGGCAGGGGTACCAAAACCAACATGAGCCATAGCCTGGGCAAGAACCCACCTCTACTTTTTTCTGTGCAAAACGGGAACCCACAGATCCCTTCTCGAAATAAAAGCAGACTGGCTCAATGCTAACTCTCTTGAGCAGAAAACTCCAGCTCCTGAGCTGATGGTTGACAGTCCCCATACAATGACAAGGTTGGAATAACATTGCACTTCACCTACAGTCCTCTGAACCTGAGCAGAGCTTTGGCTTCCTGACTACAACAGCAAAATCTTCCATGGATCCTCATACAAGTTATACGTGTGAGGAAAACATTCTGTGTTTCAGGTGAAAATCCTAAACCTTCCTGATGAGCAGACCACAAGCAGCAAGAAGAGACTTGGGCTCATCCATCTCCAGGTTCTGCCAATGGAATCGATAAAGGGGAGCTTCAGTGTGGGTCATCTCCTCACAGTTACCTACAGACACTACAGAGAGACACATCTTCAGTACTTGTTTTGGAGCCCAACATTTCTGGTAACAAGGTGATTGTGACCCACTAGGGAGCAAGTTAGCAGGATATCTGGAAATACCTACCCACATTCTTGGAGGCACATGGCTTGTCCTGATGGCTTATTTTCTCAGCTGTGCTGCCCAACAGCCAGAGTGAGTGTTGACCTCAATACCCTCCAGCCCTCCTCATTTAAGAGAAGGCAACTGATGAAGTAGATGATCAAACAATAATGTGAATAAATGTCCACCTTTTTGTGAGGGCACGACTGATGGGGCAGATGTTTTTCACATTCACTAGAAAGCTTAGTAACCTTTTGCAAGTACATTAGGTACATTTTAAAGCCTGACTTATGCAGAATGTCACTTATTAATGCTATTTAGGATTGGTACATGAGAAATCTGTACCACATTCATCATTTACAATAAAAGCAGAGCTAAGAGAGAAAGAACTAGAGAGACCAATTGCCACAATTTATTTTGGAGGTAACAGCAAGGCAAACAGAATATTTGTTTCAATGAATTTTATTTCATTCTGTTTTATACAAGTGGGATCTGATCCCCAAACTTTCCACCATCAACATAATGGAGAAGCACCACTGCACAAAGGGAAGGCAGAATTTTTGGAGCCGGAAGACAGGCTAGACCAAGCCACTTCTCCCCATGTGGTTAGAAATTCTTCCTCCTTCCCATAATGTGCTTCCCAGACCAGCAGGGTTACCCCAGGAATAAGGGAGACAAAGCTAGCTCTAAACACTCCCTCCGCCTCCTCCTCTCCCCAGCAAAAGAGGCTGCTCAATGCCAGTAATGGAATGGTTAAAGACAGGGAGTACATCGGGTTTTCAGTTTCTCAACCAGTCCACTAGATTAAGAAGTAGCCTGGTTACTCCCTCTCTCCTGAAAAAGATCCAGGAAAATCAATGACCTAAAATGCTGAAGACTTACCTCCTTTCCTTCCCCCATCCCATAGCCTTGTTCTCTAAGCACAGAGTAGGCAATGAACTCTGAGGAGGCTGAAGGAAAGCCAAGGAAAATCAGGGGCTACCTGAATCCCTGGGAATCTGGTGGCTACCCTGGTGCCCTCATTCATTCCCTTTGAGGTTCAGAGACCTGTTTGGAATAGTACACAGAGAAGTCCTCCCTTAGGGACTTGGAAGCAACCTGGGATACAGAACACACAGGAACCACTGTGAGGGTACACACCATTCCAGGGATGGCCCAAACCACAAACAGGGCAAGACTCCCCCTCAGCCAAGGCCCCAAGGGCTGGGGGAACTGGGACGAGGCCCTGGCAGGGGGAAGAGAGCTCCTGCAGCAGTTCTGAGGTTTCATGGGAATTTACTTCTTCTTCCTCTCCTGCGAACAGCGAGGGCAGAACCTGTTAGAAAGGGAAGTACAAAGCCAACGTTGAGGGCATGACATGAACCGCAAACATACAGTCCCAAAAGACCTTTTCCAAGGTCTCCAACAAAGCCTTAATTCAATTTTTCATTTTTATGAGGTCTTTTAAGTGTACTCTCCCATCTGCCACCCACGACCTCCCTTTTCCAAAGGCCAATAGGCCCTCCAGGTTGCTTGTTCACTCACCATTTCCCTCTTGGTTTTGTTGTCAGACCCACACAGGCAAAATGAAACCATTCAATGGAACACTGTTGGGATGGAGAGCAGTCAGTTAAAGAGCAGTTTTCTTTCGAAATCATTGCCTTCGGGCTACTGGAGATTCCCAGCATTTGATCACAAACTCCTAAACCCCTAGCAGCAATCAGGGAATGAAAACTCACACCCAATCTACACACTGTTAGCAAGGAGAACTCCCCTTGTCCCTTGATAAGATTAGGGGCAAGAAAACATTTTAAGGAAAACCCTGACAAAAGAGGCACTTAACAGGTCATGGTACGCCACGCCCTTGCCCTTCCCAAACTCCCTGTCTCCTTGCCATTGCTTGCTGCATCAGGCCCCACCCAAGCAGGACAAGACTTTCCATCCAAGAGCCTTCTCTCCACGCCTTTCTCCCCCATTTCCATCAAGTGCAGGCTCTTACATCTGGGTTGTCGCAGCCAATCATCTCCCCATAGGAGACCTGGTGGCAGAGGCAGTAAGTAGGCTCATTGGGGTCCACGGGCATATCCAGTACATCCGAAGGGTGCACATTTCCAAAGGTGACTGAAGGCATCCCATACTCTGTGCTACTGCAGGACAGGAATAAAGTAGGTCAGCAAAATAACTGGCTTTGAGTCCCTTCATGTCTCCCAAGACAATGCCCTTGTTTGCCAGAGACAGATGCTTCTCTTATTTAAGCACATACACCCAACTCCAGTGAAGTGACCTGCTTTCCTCTTCAACCCACACTCCCCTGAAAGAATTAAAAAGATTCCCTTCTTCTTGCTTCCCAAGAAGGGACAGGAGATAAACCCTTTTAGTCTGGGTGGGGATCAGCTATCCTTCTCAGGCTGGGCCTTCCTTGGTCTGATTTCTAGTGCTGCTCCTGATTCCTGGAAGTCTCTTAAAACACTTACGTGCGGACAAGCTTCAATTTCTTTTGGGCAGTTTTTGGTGCTTCCTCATCAGAGTTCTTCCCTTTAGAGCGAGCACGGGCAGCTTTTTTCTCTTTCTGGGCTCGGCCCTCTGATAAGAAGAGAAAAAGGTGTTGCATCTGTCACCCCATCAAAATAGACACTTGACACGGTGACAACCTCTCCAGCACTAAAATACACTCCTACTTTGGAATGTATATCGGCTTCGGGCCATGCACTCCATCTTAATTTTATCTAGTGGCCTTGAATATCCTCACACAAGAAGCTCACAGGTCACCATCCTTTTACCTGTCCTTCAGATTCCAGCGCAACAGTCTTTGATCTGTACCATTCCAGTGCCTGCCTTCATCCCCACCACTTCCATAGTCACTTGGCTGCCTCCTGTATCAATCTGCAGCCCAGTGGTGGTACTCACTCTTCTTGCCCTTGCTGGAAGAACTGTCATAGTCACTCGACTCTATCTGCTTCTCCTTCAGGTCTGCTTCAAAGCGAGCGAGGTCTGTGTCCAGCCGCCGGATGTGCTTATCAACCTGGAAAGACAACAGTGACCAGGAGTCACCACAGGACAGAGCCCAGGAGGGCAAAGAAGAGGGGGCTTGCACTAAAGAGCCGAGAAGCAAAGAGCGGGCAGGGCCTAAAAATGAGAGATCAAGGCCTTTCAAGACTGGGGGCTTTAGTTTGGACTTTCACCCGATAAGCACTAGACACTTCCCTTCATACCATCTCGTAGGTCTGCATAGCCAGCTGAACCTTGTCGTCCCCAAACTCCTTGCACTTCCCATAGGCCTCCTGGATTTGCTTGAGAAGCCCCAGTTTTTCCTCTGAAGACAAAGTTCGTGCATTGCTGATATACTCTGTGGCCAACTTATCGATCTCCGACTTGAGGTCTGAAACAAGTTTACCATTAAATACATAAATATACACAGTGCTACAGTGCCCTCCAGTAAGAGAGACTGAATGAGTGGAGCAGCTTTAGGCTTTCTTCCCTGCCCGGAGATCCCCATGATTAAAGCAAAGCAAAGAAAAGCCGGTCAAGCTACATACTTATTGTCTTGGCAACAAAACCATCTTTAAGCCTCACCTTCTGTCCTCTGATCCAGATCTCGCATGAGCTGGAAGTTTCTCTGCAATTCAAATGGCAGGTTCTCAATACCTGCAGGGAAAGGAGAATACATGGAGAAATCAGGTTCATGTCCATGATGCCAAGGCAGGAACAAATCTAACCAATAACAACACATATACCCCTCTAATGATGTCCCTGGTGCACATTAGCGTGCTTCCATTTGTTGCCAGCTCCAGAGGAGACAGACTATAAAAACGTGATAGATTTAATCTGGGAGCACAGTTCTAGAATACATATTAGTTAGCAGAAAACTGCTGCCATGCAGAAAGATCCACATTAAGAAAGCAGAAACTCAAAATTTGTAATGAGTGTCAGTCATTATAACATATTCAAAAACTCCACTTAGTAATGAAAAAAATAGTACAACAGATGGTAAATAATGCCATTTAGCTGTTCCTACACAAGGATGTAAAAATTAAAGTTGATCAAATGCTAATTCACTGAAAAGTGAGTTTGTTTTAGTGCATCCATTTTACATATAGGGGACAGTAGATGCTTTGGGCAGAGCCAAAGAGCAAGTCTGAGATGGGACAGGGAGCAGTGAATATCAGTTTTAACCCCCCGTGACGTGTTCCTTTCTGTGCCTTCTGCACCGTCATCTCAGTGCGGTCCATCCAGCACCTGGAAGGATGCCATACATCATGAATAATAAACGTTTGTAGGGCTCTGAATGAGCAATGTGAAGTTGATAGTCAATTAATTTTCAATGCACTATGCCACTCACCCCCTAGGCATCACCAGATGCTCAACTGGCAAAGCTGATAAAAACAATTCTCATTTTTCCATGCCTGTCTAATCACAATGAGATCTAGTGTTACTGCATTAACCTGAAATCCAAGCTTGATTATTGTCACCTTTATAAGTAATTAAAAAAAATAAAAATCTTTCTTGCAGGTTAAAAAAAAAAAAAAAAAGGTGGTGGGAAAAGCTCTTCAGAAATCCAACATAAGCATATCTGCTTCCTGAACCCGTTCTCCAACACACAGGGAGTGCAACTGAAGGTGTGTCTGGCCATCACCAAAGCTGTCCAATACATCAGTCCAGGCAGCAGTCTCTATTTTCACTGCACATATTTCTACAGCAATGAATGCTTTTTCAATTCCCTGAAAAGCAACCAGCTGTCTGGGAAGGTCTGTATGCAAGAGGAAGGTTTTAACAAGTACTACCCACAAGCCGTGAAATTAATTCCTATAAGAAGTAAAACCAACTCCGTGCCTTGCTGAGCACAGAAGCTGTTCCTTTTACTTACTATTCTGCACAAACAGAATATAATAAGTTACACACAGAACCCTTCTGAGTAATGAAGTTGCTTCTTCAACAGATTTCTGTTGCCATTTCTAATTTAGTTACCTGAGAAATGCTCGGGTAGTAGGAGTCCTTGAGTACCCAGATACATAATCCACAGCACATACACATCACCCCTCTGCATTCAAGGACAGTTAACAGTGCAAATTCAAATTCTCAAAAAACTACTAAGCGGCAAAATTCTGTCTGCACATTCCTGAATTTGATACTTCCATGTTTGTTCAGCATGACAGACTTCACACAAGGTTTAAGCAGCCAGCTACCAGATTACATCCCTATGGCTCAAAAAAGCATGTCAGAAGACGATGGGGACACAGGGTTGAAAATTAATATTGCTTACAGAGGAAGCTCATGGCAGGGACGAAATCCAGCTTGGGGATCTCAAGACCATGCCTTTTTCCTTCCTGCAATCCCCAGACTCATCAACTCTAAACCTTTCAATTTACACAGCAAATGAAACATGGGTCATGCTGCAGCATGCTGCTTTTCATTCCTCTCCAAAGCAGCCCCTGCAGAAGACAAGACAGGTATCCTCTAGAGGAAAACAGTATCTGTTCTTGCACTGCACACAAAATGCTGAATTTATATTGAGTTTATTAATCCTGAAGATCACAGCTTCTAAATTCTGGACTTTGTGGTTTTTAAAAAAGATTAATGTAATTTCTTTTTTTCCTCTGAAAAGGACAGACAGTAAAAGCACAAATTCCACCAGGTACTGTCAGTTTTCCCTTGGCAGGGCTAGAAACCTTTAGACAGAGCAAGCACCTGAGCTACAACAAAAGCCAGCAGGATGCTGTTCTGTGGGCAGAACAACCCCACACAGGGTGATGGTCACGTTCTCACAGCAGGAGAAACTCAAGCAGGAGTTTGTTTCTGCTACAGAACCTGAAAGGGACTGCGTCCTAATTTTTACATCTCTCGCTGTAAATATCTGCCACCACCACTAAGACCAGCACATGCCCTTGTCTGGACAGTGCCTGTCTTCCCTTTGCCTCTCTGTGCCCAGCCTCCTCTCCTCAGCCTGTGCCACCTACCCTTCAGAGACCCTCTCTGCCCAGTGCCTGCTCCCTTCACTGCCAGCCCCTCAGCCAGGCCAATGGCTCCCCTGCTTTGTTACCTGCCTCCAGGTGTGCAGAGCTCTTTGCTCCTGGCAGTGTGGGGAGAGATGTCACCTGGCTCTGACTCTGCCCAAGCAGAGGCCCTGCACAGGCACCATCATTTACCAGTTTAGCACTTAAGAGCCATGATCTCCTGGAGCCATGACCTTCCAGATGCTCATTAGCTGAGTAGGCTTCCATGGGGACTGACGAGACAAACCCCTGTCATTTTAATTCCTTCCCTGCTAAAGTCAGCAAAATTATTTCCTAAAACCCCAGCAGAATGTTTCACTCTGCAAATCTATTACTGGACCAACATTCTGCAACTGCTTTGTCAATAAACTGGGAGAAAATGAAACAAGTGACAGTACAGTGACTTTATAATCAGAACTGTTACAAAGATACTTTATCTGTTCAATTGAAAGTGGAAGGAAGCTGAGCACAAAATGACTAAGTATGATCCAGAGAGAGTCTGGCAATAACAAAAAGCATAACAAGATAAAGCTGCAGCTGAGCAAGTTTTAACTGAACGACAAACTATTTTTATGGTACATAGCTTAATCTAGCTATGGAGATGTTTTCTACTATCTGCAGCTTAACTCCAAAGCTCTTGTGTAACCTTAAACAGAAGTGATTCTCTGCATCACAGAATTTATCACAGGGGTCAGAACATTTGCTGAAATTGCTTGACCTATGCTGTGCTGGGTATTAGACATCCCCACCCTAACAGTCCCATTAAAAAAAGAAAAAAGGTAAATCTAAGATTTAAGTTTTCATTTTTTTATTCCTACCAATGCCACACACTTTTCCTCAGTACTTCTAAAAGAACTCATGTTATTTATGTAATTTCATTTCCCCATGAATTTCTCCTTTTTTCCTTTACAATTCATTTGCTCTTTCATCTTATAATAAGATTCACCTAAAACTTTCATGACTAAATACTATCTATCACAAAATACTCAAATAATTCTCAGATTCTGAAACTGATAATTGTAAAGAAAAAAAACACCCTAGAGGCATCCTTGATCACTAGAGAAGAGGGCAGTGAAGCACAGTCACTCTGTCTCTGATACACAACAACAGAGACAAAAATAAGGAATAACGAGGGCCTCTTTCCACACAAATGGCATAGCAGCAAGAGAGGAAGAGGAGGATGGTGAAAATGTCCAGGGAAGAAAGTGCTAGCAAGGCCAGCAGCTTGGCCCAAAGCATGGGCTGGCATTAATGCAACTGTGTCACAGAATCACAAAATGGGTCAGGCTGGAAGGGACCACAGTGGCTCATCTGGTTCAACCTCCCTGCTCAAGCAGGGTCATCCTAGAGCATATGGAACAGGATTGTGTCCAGACGGTCCAGAATATCTCTAGTGAGGGAGACTCCACCACCTCTCTTGGCAAGCTGTTCCAGTCACCTGTGTAGTGAAGAAGTTCTTCCTCATATTCAGGTGGAACCTCCTGTGCATCACTCTCTGCCCACTGCCTCTTGTTCTCAGCATCACCAAGAAGAGCCCAGATCCATTCTCTTGACACCCTCCCTGCAGATACTTAGAGACATTGATGAGGTCCCCTCTCAGATATCTCTTCTCAAGGCTGAACAGGCCCAGCTCCCTCAGCCTTTCCTCGTAACAGAGATGGTCCAGTCCCTTAATCATCTTTGTTGCCCTCCACTGGACCTGCTCCAGGAGCTCCATGTCTCTCTTGTACTGCAGAGCCCAGAACTGGACACAGCACTCCAGATGTGGCCTCGCTAGAGCTCAGTAGAGGGGCGGGATCATTTCCCTTGACCTGCTTGTAATGTTCTTCCTAGTGCAGCCACTTGCACAAATCCACAGAGAAACCATGTGCAGCCCTACTGATTCCTCTCTCAGTACAGTTACCCTGAAAATCACTGGGGCAGGTCTCTCAATGAGTTTTTCTCACCCCTTCCTTTTCTTACCTTGTTTTCATTTCTGATCACAAGCCAAAGTCTCTCCACCCATCGTTGTCTTTCCTCTCCTCAGTTCTTATCCCTTCACTCCCCCTGTTCTTCTGTCTTTTTTATTCTCCTCTTTCCTTGTCACTCTTTCCCCATTCATTCTTCCATAGGCATCCATTACCATGCAGTCTTCTCCCTTAAAAAACACGCACTCTCTCTCCAAAACTCAGACTTCAACACCACTCTCTTTCCTCTCCAATAATTATTATTTTATTCACTTCTTTGTAGAAGCACACATGGGGTGTCAGGTGCAGGCAACTGATAGTTAAACTTCAGCTACTTAACTCAGATGTTACCTCTGACATACACATACAGAGAGTGAGCCCACACAGCCAGATAACTTCAACGGTGCTTCAATCCCCTGCAGCACGTCTTTACTGTGCCAAACAATGCATTTGTATTGTACAGATTCCTAAAAGATGATCAGTAGTACCAAGGACCATACAAGCACATAGTGCCTTTCCCGAGACATCTGTTTGCCCACTATGTTTACATGCATGTTTAAATTTATTAAAAACCAAGAAAATACATTTTGAAACATAACCACAGTTGCTTTATTGAACAGTATATATTTCAGCAAACCTTTTAGACCCCACACTGCTGAAGGTAATTAAAAAAAATCCTACTTCTGCCAGGGACTGCCACAATGAGAGGGCAAGTTCTGTGCCCTCTGAGAGAGGAAAGCAACTGGTATCTTGTGGGGGAAGCACACTGGACTTTTCTGTACTACGTGATTCTCATAATTTTGTAGCACTTGAAGTTACTGCATGACAACTGGCTTACAGCAATCTTCAGGCGCTCCCTTGCTTCCTCATTAGGGGCAGGATGTCTTTTATATCCCTCCTTTCAGAGGGTACAACCCTTTTAAACTAATGCTTCTACTCTGTCCTGTGTTCTCAAGTAATTAATCATCCTCCTACACATTTATTGAAATTATTGCACGAGCATAACGTATACCTTTCCCTCTATTCATACATGGCTCGGCCCTACTGCAGTGTACACACCCTAACCCGCACCATTATCCTCACAACACCTCGGAGAGGGATAATACTACCCACATTTTTACAAAGAGGGTGCTCGGGTGTGGCAGACTGATTTAGTTACAGGCACCCAGGAATTCTGTGCCCATGTCATATATCCCAAGCTATGGGCCAGTGCACTGCACGAGTCCACCCAAGCACATCTCCTTCAGGCACTGTCCAAAGAAACAGGAATTAGTCAGCAATGACAGTCAATGCAACAGCTACAGAAACCCAGTATTACCCCAAAGTGTGGACTGTTTTCCTGGGAAGGGAGGGCTCTTTCTGTCATTTTCTTATTACACTACCTCAGTGCTACAGCATCCACAGCCAAGATAGCAGGCAATGGTGTTAAGTCTCAGAAAGGGGATCTTAAAGATCAACCTTGATTTCTGAAGCTTGGAGGGCTTGGAAGACTAACACAAGAAATGAAACTCGCAATGCTCCTGGCATTTCCAGCCTGTCACAGACCTCCAAAGGCAGAGACAACCACCAAAGAGCTCACAGGGCTGTTTGCCATCACATTGGATTTGCAGTTGGGTGAGTGAAGAAATACAGAGAAAACACAGTATGCTTTGCCATGTAAAGTCACCTTGTATCAGCTCCAACAAAAGTACCAATGAACAACAAAATCAATTCTAAATGAACTGGTCATTAAATGTATCAGCTTAGTGTGGGCTGTGCCAGTAGCTTTCACACAGAAACAAATGCTGCCTATGAATCACCAAATTCTCCTCCCTGTGTGATATCTTTTGTAATTTTCCACAGATGAAGTGTGCTGCATCACAGGTGCAACTAATCTGAAGCCTCAGAAAGATGAAATGCATCTTTCATTACACTGAAATAGTGCTGAATATAGAAAAAATTTATTAAGAGACTTGCATTTCTGAAGTATGATGTGAGAAACTTTAGAGGCAGGGGTATGGCTGCATGGTACACTGGGGAGGGGACAACTGTAAAGATGGGAAAACAAGAGATAGAAGAACTGCTGGGGAATTTGGAATGCAGCCAGGTCTGGGAAGGAATCAAAGGCTTGCCACAGCAATTTCCAACATCACACCCATGTCCTCTAAGAATATTAAGATGACAATACACATC